AACAAAACCAACTTCCTTATACCATTTTTCATACCAAATAGTTCAAGAAAAGCCTTTGAAATTCTTTAACTACTGCTAACAGTGAGATTAAAACCCAATTCCAGTAATTTTTGACCTCAAAATGATGCAAGAACTTCTTTATTTTCAAAGCATGTTTCTCAGCCGTTTCTCAATTTTTAGTATCTAAATCTCTTTTCCAATTCTAAAACTATGTATATTTTCAGCCGTTTTCTAAACTGTGTATTCTGATCCCTCTAGAAAATGCAGGAAGTGATCCTTTTATAAGCAGGGTTTTAGGGCAACCAAATTGATTTTAAGCTTTACCAATTGCCCCTTCTCCAATTTTTATTTTGTTCATTTTAGACCCCAAGTTCTAACCTGTTTGTTACGTCAGCCCCATTACCTACTTTCCTAGCAACTTCCTAGGCAGTTATAAATGATTCCATCTACAAAAATACCCTAAATACCCTTTAAGTCTTTGTTATTTACCTTCAGAAAGTACCACTAACTGGGCTAGACCCTAACATACCTGAAACCCCTCCCCTTTTCCTTCGGGCTTCTGAACTATGAAACCCAATTTATGGTCCAAAGACCACACACCACAAACAATCAAACCAACAGAGTTCTGAAACTCCGGGCATCAAAATTCTAAAGGAGCAAAACAAAAATGAGAATGGAGCAACATGCAGACATGAAATCAAAAGTACTAAAAGAAATTGTTAATTACATTATTATGCTAATATCACTATAAACTAATATGACCTAAATCTAATCATGCAAACATAGATCGACTTGAACTAATAAAAGAAGAAGAAAGAAACAAGAAAAAACAAAAATATGCAACTAATTAACAAGGAAAAGAAAAAGAAAAGGCTGACTGACCAAACAGAAACATTAGCCAAAAATCTCGGATGGACAATATGGCCACTCGAACTGCTTCTTCAAGACCAGAAGCTTACCCTAATGAACACCCTTATTCAGGAGTGCTCTATCAGGGCAAGCTTCGAGCCTTGATGAGTGAAAAACTTTGACAGAAATTAGGTCAAGACTTGAATTCCACATCTGACGCACTCTAAAGCTTGCTTGGGAAAAAATATCAAGGGCTTTGGGTTTGAGGAAACCTGGGGACAGTAGGATGCTAATTTGGGCGGGTTTGGAGTGAATTAGGGTATTGGTACTAGTATTAGATCCAAAATTGGAGAGGGTTAAGAGGGATTCGAGGGACATTGCTTTGGGGTTTAGGAAGAGGAAGGCACGGGGATGGTGTGGTGTTAATTTGGGGCAAATTGGGGTTGCGTCGCTACCGGAGATGGTGAGGAATTTAGGGCGGCACTAGGGTTTGGGTTCAGAGGGTTTTAGGGTTGTGAAGGGAAGCCGATGGAACTGGGAGGGGGCGTAAAGCTTGTTCAGACATACATATATTAGGATAGGGTGAGGAGTTCCGGTCCGTTGGATCTAACTGATCCAACGGTTGAAATGGTAGGGGGTCAAAAAGATGTCATTTGATTTGAAGGCAAAGCTGGACCGGGTTAGAGCGTAGTTTGGGCCGGATCTGGAATGGGTTTGTTGGTGGGGGGGGAGAAATTCGTTTAGGCTGTGACATATTGGCCCAAAATCAACACCCTTTTCTGATTCTCTTTTTCTTTTTTCCAATTTCCAAATTTTCTTTTTTTCGTTTCAAATTAATTAACAAACCAAATTAACTCTTAAATTAAAATAATTTATCAAATTAAGCTAATTACTCATCACACTATTTACAAAAATTAATTAACTCCTAAATTAAAAGAAGAACTACAGAATTTAAAATTAAACGGTTAAAAATGCAAAGTGAGTCATTTTTTGTGATTTTTTTTCATTTTTATAAAACAACTAACTTACTAATTAACCTAAAAATGTAAAAATAAATCCTAAATGTAAATGCAGATTATTTTTGTATTTTCATGATTTAAATAAAAATTAAATATGCATAGAAATGAAAAAAATGCGAATAATTAAGAAAATTCTTCAAAAATTCCTAAAATGGCAAATAATTAAAAGAAAAAAACCTATTTCCTTGAGATTCTGTAGGAATATTTCATATAGGGCAAAAAACACATGCCCACACTGTTAGACACTTTTGCTGACAAAAATTATTCATACTCAACCTTTTTAAAGTGTACCTAAGACACACCACTTTCATGTTTGACCATTTCTTCTTGGAGATTGCGCCACATGCGCTAATCAAATCGTGACACGTGTCGTAACTCAAGAGAAAAAAAGAAAATACATAATTTGCATCCCAATTGATAATATTAAACAAGAAAAAGAAATTAGAATCTGGGGCACAATTTTCATTGTTCCACTTCCTAGAACATTGAACTAACACTGTTATGCTTGTCATTACTATATTTTTATTCAAAACTTAATCAGGAGACAACGCAATGCTTATTTTTGAATTTATAATGGATCAAAATATAATGAATTCGTTCGTTCAATGACTATTTCTGTGTTAATACATGTAACACTTTCAACATTTTTTGCGAACTTAGAATTTTGCTATATCAATGGCAGACGAAAAACAATCCAATCAAAATCAGTGGGAACATAACCTCTGAAGCTTCATTTGTAAATCTGAATGCGTATTTGCAAACTTTAAATATAATTTTCACACTGTTTATGATGTATTTTTTTTTTTTAAAGAAAATTCGACCAAAATCTTTTAGTTATGGAAGAGTAAAGAGCCGTGTCCAAAATCTGACACACGCTAATAATTTTTATTGTTCTACTTTTCAGAATGACGAATTAACAATGTTGCGCTTGTCTTTATTGTATTTGTATTCAGAACTTAATCAGGAGATAATGCAATGCCGATTTTCAAATTTATAACCGATCAAAATACAATGAATTTGTACATTCAATAACTATTTCCGTTGTTAATGCCTGCAACACTTTCAGCACTTTTTGCGAACTAAGAATATTGTTGTATCAATGGCGGACGGAAAACAATCCAATCAAAATCCGTAGGAACACAACCTCAAACGTACTCAAAACATCTATATGCTGTATCACATAAGCTTTATCTGAAAATCGGAATGCGTATCTGCAATACAATTTTCACACCGTTTATGTTTTTTTTTTAAAAAATTGGACCAAAATCTTCTAATATGGAAGAGTAAAGAGCCATGTTCCAATTTTGTAGGTTGAGATCTTTCAAGTGTGATATACACTGATTTATTGCGTTTTTAGTTTTTAAACAACTATCCTCCCACGATTAGCCTATTTACCAATGCTGTATTCATTGATACATGCGCACGAATATATAAAATACAGGACACTAGGAATGTAATTTCAGCTACGGATAGTAAATATTGAAATTGTAGTCCCGTCGTATTAGTAGCCACTATACTATAGTGCTTTCTAAAAATTTCTCAAAAAAGAAAAAAAATTACGCGACACATTAAATATTTACATTGTATTTACCATTCGTAGCTATACTTTTACTATATTTGAATTTTATAGAAAATTCACGAAATAAGAGATTAGTTATTTTGAATTTAAACGAGAGCAATAAGCTCTCATAGTTCAGTTGTTTAGATGGCCCGCTTAATTAGCAGATGTCTTGAATTCGACTCTCAACAAGGGCAGTTTTTCCCTGCATTTCTGTATTTCGCCTTAGTTGTATTTGTTGCGCAGCCGATACAAGTTGCATCCTTTGTATACACCCTATGAATACAGTTGACACAAACTGTATTCGTTGCGCATTTGAATACAAGCTAGTAATAACTAAATTGTAACTACGAATAGTAATTAGGAAAACTATAGTTACTAGGCTATAAACGGGGGATTTGTATCTATACCCGCTTTTGGGTCACGTTTTAACTTGTGCCCGCTTTGCAAAAAAAATTGCAAGCGTACCCACTTTTTCACGTAACTTCAGCATATGGGGTTGAAGTAGCAAAGACAATCACGCAAAACTTCAGCATTCTAGTAGACGGGCCTGAAGTAGCAAGTGTGCTGAAGTTTTTGTTGTAGTAGCTGGAGTTTTGTTCTCTATTTGCTGAAATTTTTGTTTGTAATTGCCGAACTTAAGCATAGTAGCTGAAGTTTTGTTCTCTATTTACTGAAGTGTTTGTTTGAAATTGCACTAAATAAGCTGAAGTTTTTTGTTCTGGATTCATTAGTTTTGTCATTAAGCTTTTTCAAAAACTTCAGCAGAAGATGCTGAAGTTATTTAGTTCATTTATAAAACTGTAGCACTAAATAAGCTGAATTTTTTTTGTCCTGGATAAGCTTTTTCAAAAACTTCAGCAGAAGATGCTGAAATTATTTAGTTCATTTGTAAAAACTTCAGTACTAAAAGCTAAAGTATTTTTGTCCTGGATTCATTAGTTTTGTCATAAAGCTTTTTCAAAAATTTCAGCAGAAGATGCTGAAGTTATTTAGTTCATTTGTAAAAACTTCAGCAATATATAAGCTGAAGTTTTTGAAAAAGCTTTCTAACATACTAGATAAATAATCAGATTACCAACAATATCTAAATCATAAATTTTGGAAATAATAAACGTGAAAAGAATAAAATTATCATTGTCCACTAACTTACGTACGTGAAAATATTCACAAATTATTATCTACTAACTTACGTACGTGAAAATATTCATAAATTATTGTCTACTAACTTACGTAATTATTTATAATTTATTTTTAAATAATCTGATAAATATATTTATGGCAATCATTCCATGAACTGAAGTTTCATAGCAGCACCAACAGCAGCAGAAGAAAGAAGAAGAAGAAGAAAACAAAGGAGAAGGAGGAGGAGAAAGGGGGCTGAAGTTGTTTAAAGTGGGTACAAGTTAAATCTTTAAAAAAAAATAGGTATAGGTTAAATGGAGGCGACCAAATAAGGCGCCCTGTGCAATTTTTACGCTCTAAACTACTAGTGTTTTATGAAAATTGTTCCAACAAAAGCTAGGAAAACCATCTTGAAAGCTCATACTCTATGCAGGCCCAAAAGCGGCCCAACATAGAACTGTTACAAAACCAATTGGCTATCCCTCCAATAGATTTTTTCTCTCTTGCCAAAAATGGCGTGCAACTCAGGAACCTGCCAGTCCGGTTGTTACAGAGACTCCTCTAATGAAGCAGAAGAACATCCGCCAGTAAAAATTGCAAATGAAGCTCCAAACGACGTCGCTAACGGTAGAAAGAGCACCGAACAATTATCTAACTTCGTCTGTGTTAAATGCAAGGTTAACAAAACCATAGCCGCCGCTGCCTCCGCCGATGGCGGTGGTGACTTTATCGGAGGAGATAGAGGAAGGTTCTGTGCAGATTGCTTCCGCAGTAATCTCTATGGAAAGTTCAGATTTGCTGTCACATCTAATGCTATGATTTCGCCGTCAGATAACGTCCTTGTCGCCTTCTCCGGCGGTACATGCTCCAGGTTCATATTATGTCTTCATTTTCAATCTGTAAATTGTTTAGTTGTATTCTTAATTCCCAAAGTTATTTTCTTTTCGAGATTATATCTAGGGTTTAGGGTTTAATAATTTTGATTAAACGTAGTTTCCTACTGATTTTTGGTTCCTTATTAATCAGTTTATTTGTTTGAAAATATGATGATGGTGTAGAAAAGACTCTTTATTTTCGGTCTAGGTTAGTTCATTGAAAGAAATAGTCAATCAATGGCCTTAATGCCAAACTAGTTGGGGTTGATATGAATTGTATATATATGCTGTGTTTGCACCCAAGGGTGTGGTGTTCAAATTCAAGTGGAGGCAAATAACAACTATGTAATTTCTTCCCACCTGCCTAAGCTTTGGTTGACAGATACCCATACTTGTGGTGGTGGGAGGTAGCGGGTACGTGGTGGAATAGTAGAGGTGCGAACAAGCTGGCCTGGATACTACCATCATAAAATATTTTAAAAAAATTCCCATATTTCTTTTTATCAGTCTCTATGTATTCCGCTTATTTGTGTCTATTTAATTCTAAACAATATAAGAACAATAGACATCGGTCATGTTCCTCAGTCTGAAATATGTACCCATGCAATTTAATTGTCAAAGTTTTGGGATTTTTCCATGCCTATGATGGAACTTTAGCAAAAAGGGTGTGATTACTGAGCTTTCATCTTGCGAACTAAGTGTAGAGTTTGGACTCAATTGATGGGGATACGTCTTTGTGTGGCGAGTGTGAATCTCCTTATTTTGGAGATAAGGACCAAATTTCCTACTGTTAACACTTACTAATTAAAAAAAAGGTTAAAAGTAGGTCTTCTAGAAACAATAGCATGTTGTCATTTCTCTAGATTGGTGAGCACAGCATTTACGTGTTCTTGGAGTTGAATGTAGCATCAAAGTGTGTCAACAATGGTGTATCATTGCAGTTAGTTAATCCAGACTTCTGCTTGTTATCTCTTAAAAGGGATGTCGAGTAGAATGCTAGTCTTGTGTAAAAGGTATGTGATACCATGATGTTTTACTTTTCTGAGCAAATTCTTTTATCTTCTAGGGTGGCTCTGCAGTTTACACATGAGATGCAAAGCAAATCTCAGAAGAACTTTGATGCCAGTCCAGATAGAGCATTACCAGTTTTTGGTGTTGGGGTTGCTTTTATTGATGAAAAAGCCATTTCTGCTGTCTCATCTGATGACTTTGATAGAGCTATTGAGAAGATGAAACTTATCGTGTCAGATTTGGCTCCACCAGTGAAACAATTCCATGTAGTTCCAGCAGAGGCCATTTATTCGTTGAAAGCTGGTGATGCAAAAGATAGACTGAATGAATTAATAAATTCTGTTAGTGATGTCACAGGAAAAGAAGACCTGTTAGAGCATCTTCGCATGCTCTCCCTACAAAAGGTTTGGCGGCTTTACATAATCACGATCTTGAGCTTTGCTGGAGAAACATATATCCCTATTTACATATGTTTCTTTACGATGCAGATAGCTCTTAAGCATGGATATACCAAAGTTTTGCTAGGAACGTGTACATCAAGAATAGCTTGTCATGTACTTGAAGCAACTGTCAAGGTAGGTTCTATGAATCACTTCCTCTCTTCTTCTGTGGAAAAACTGAAAATATGTATTCACATGGATGCATGATAAAGAAAGCTTGTCCTCTGGCAAACTGAAATTTTTTGGAACTTTGGACTTCAATCTGACATGATCCAAATGGAAACAATGAAAGGGATGGAGTAGATTATAAGAGAGTAATGGAAGTGTGAAGTGCCTAGATTTGGTCCATCCTCTTCCAGATAGATGAAGAGATTAAAACTAAAAAATGCGTTTATCCATGATTCATGCAGAAGAGGTTTTCTTTTTAAAAAAAATGTTAACAGCATTGCTTATGAATTTTGATACTTCGAATTATTATTATTTTTTTGATAACTGTGGGCCAGCGGCGCATGGTTCGAAACTCGATGGATAATGGACCCGTCCCTCTACCCTTCTCCACTTAAATATAGGCGTTTGTATGAAGTTCTTTTGCATATTCCTCTCGGGTCAACTTTCTTGGATTAATGAAAATACCCTTCCATTTTCATGATCTTTTTCGTGTGGATTATTTTGTCTGATTTGATCTTTATTTTTAATTACTCATTTCAATGATCATAATCCATGTTAGTTATTTTATGAAAGAGCAACTTTAGAGCTAGTAACTATATATCTACATCAATCACCTATCTAGAATTTTCGATGTCATCTCTCATATCTTTGGTTACCCACTTGAACAGAAGATTAATAAAAAAAGAAAGAGAGAGAATTATCTAATGTGCAAAAGGTTTTGGTTTTCTCCAGGGTAGAGGTTACTCTTTAGCTGCTGATATCCAGTATGTTGATGCAAGGTGGAAGATACCTGTGGTTCTTCCCCTCCGTGATTGTCTTATTCACGAGTTGAATACGCTCTGCAGCCTTGACAGGTTTGTTGCACTTGAAATCTGAAATTTAAAACAAATTTAATTTTGGTTTAGCATTTAGATATCCTATTTTTATCGCAATCTCGTGTAATTTCTGAATCTGATTATTTCATTTCTTTTTGCCCTTTCTTTGTGTGTCAAAACCATTACTTCATGATGGGCCTCAACGTACTTTGCCAGGGCAGTTTGATGACTGTAGAAGTTTTTAACAGAGCACGTGCTGGTATCAATGGCCTGGTCTCCTCATTTGTAAAATTGTTGCAGGTAAAAACAGGTTAACAGTATTTATTTGATTTTAGTTGATGTGGTCCCATGTACAGTGCAAGTGGCATTTAATGCAAGGAAAAGATTGTAGATATATAAGAAATAAAAAATTGGAATATTATAATATAACAATGCACACAGTAGCTGAAATATATTCAGCCTGCCGATACACATGCTTTTAAAACTTGAATCTTGGTTCATGGTTAATGTTGTAGTAATTGCTGGTTACTTTAACAAGAAGGAAAAGTATTAGGGAAAAGAAATTACGTTATTGTGAAAACTGCCTCTATTCAGTTATCCTATGTGTTTGTTGTTCTAGTCATGAATACTGCAACTTGAAAGCCTTGCACATGAAAAATTCAAAGTAACTTTTACTTTTCAGGAGGAAAACCCTTCCCGGGAAAGCACAATCATGAGAACAGCTGGAAAGCTAACACCTTTTCATTTCAATAGAATGTCAGAGGACAATAACTATAACGATCAGGTGGCATCTCAAAGGAGGCAAAAGAAATACAGCCTGAAAACTAACGATGCCCTTCCTCCCGAGTTATTCTGTCCTATTTGCAGTAGTCCTCTAAAAATATCCACCTTCGGAACATCAATTAGTTTTGACAATGCGAAAACTAGTCTCAATGCGATTGGGGCTGCATGCTGTGCAAGTTGTCAGTTTCAGGTTCTTCCCAAGGACCCCTCATCTCTGGAGCACTTCATTTCTCTCTTGCCACCATCAATGGTTTCCCAAGCAGAGGATGGTGATCATCTAAGTCAGAGACAGCTAAGGTATGAAATTTTATTTGATATTCTTATTTCTGACACATTAGCTTGCTTTTGGAAAACCATTCTGTAGCTGCAGATGGCTTGAATTTGCAAAGGCGGTGTCATGGATCTTTAGATGGACGTTGCCTTTTGAAATTAGCTTCCATTTCTGCTCCTTTCAAGATTTTCCTCACAATTTCATTGTTATTGCTTAGAGGATAGTGTCCTCTGTTTCTTTGTTTGGGCTGCCCCAGGGTTCACCATTTCAACTTTAGAGATGTTTTTGGAACTGGTTCTTTTAATTTGTATTAATGAAAAGCTTTATCTCCGTTTCTAGTCCTAGTTTAAAACTTAGGATACTTATCTTTCAAGTTTAATTGCCTTGTTTTCAGGGAGCAAATAGAAGACTGCTTGCTCTCGGACAACGAAGACTGAGCATGATCCTGCTGATTAGTTTTGCTAAACATCCGACTGCTTCATTGAAACACAATTCACGTTTTGGTCTCAATGCACCAGTATGTCAACTAAAGAATAGTTTGTTACTAGAGCCCGTGAGGAGCAGGGAAAATGGAAAGATGTTGCTATGGGTTTTGAGATTATGCTGAGGTTCTCATTTCTATAAATATCAGTACACCATGTTATGGTAGAGTTGGCCACTCGGCTGATGCCTTGATTTTTCAATCTGTTTTATAAGTGGGTTATGTTACAGAAAAGCTAAGTATGTTCTTTGGCCAACTTTTTTTAACTTTTCATGCCCTTCAGTTTTAGTTTAGCGCCTAAGCTACATTGCAATGTTTCTCAGACACTTTTTACATGTTGGAAGATCACCTGCAAAGTGAAAATGTTAGATAATACTCTCTTGTCTGGCTCATATATGAATTCTAAACTAATGAAACGCAAATTATACATTACATTTATTAATTCAATACAAGTCGATCCGCTCTTCATAGAACAGAACAAGGGAATTATTACATGGAAGTAGAAACACACGCACTAGATAGAATTAAGGTTGACCTCTCTTGCCAGAAAAGCTTAATAACTGGGTGTATTTAGATCAACCGCAAATTTCACTGGGGCAGCCCATAGCACATGGATCCTGATAAACATTCCCCTGAAAGCTCACAGAGGGAAAAGACTTTTCTCTATCGTCATAAGAGCTTGTCGTTTCACTCCATTGTTGTGTGTTAGAAGCAGATTCATCCATTGATAGCACGATACGTGATAAAGCTGGGTAACCATGGTAGAATAAAAAGGCAATAATCATCAGAATAATAATAAGAATAATGGTACTGTTTCTGGCCATTGATAAAAGTTCAAGGTTTGGTGAAGCCCTAAGGCATTTGTCAAATGAATAAGGCTATAGCAAGTGACATTATATAATTGCCAGATCTCTTATTGTTCGCTCTTAGCTCTCATCATTTACAAACTATGAATTGAATTTGAAGTTCAACGCTAATCTTTAAAGTCAGTGTTGAAATACATTCTAAGCTAATGAAGGTTCTTGACATGTTCTCCATTTCTTTGTCCATAAGAAAAACCAATTACTTACATGTTACTTACATAGTTGACAAAGTTATAATAAGAAATCGAGTGCATATAAAAAGGAACAATTAAGTGGATGATTATCCTCAAAACAACCACAAGCTGGACTTGGACAAGTACAGCTGTAGAGATTCGCATGTAACAATTTTTTCTCAGATTTCTAAGAGGCATTATGCTGGTGTTATGATCAGAACACTACTAGAAATCCGGTAATTAGCGATCATAAAAACCGACCAACGTTGATCGTTTTTGGCAAATTAACGACCAAAACGCGTCCAAACACGCTTGGTCGCTATTTTGGTGGTCGTTTTAGTATACCGACCAAGGTTAGTCGCAAAGGTAAAAGGACCAAGGTTGGTCACAAAAAAAAACCGACCAAAGTTGGTCGGTATTTTAATTATGTAATCAAAAGATTCATGTTACAACCCATATCCACATGTGTTAGTTCATGCCATATATTAGTTAACATAAATCC